GGGGTAGAGGGAGGCATGCAGGCAGAGGACAGAGCATGTGCATGGCATGGCACAGAGGGAGAAGCTTGTCCTGCAGCTGCCCAGGCAGTACCTTTAGTCTTCAGGGCAGTCAAATCCAGTCCGCTTCACCAGCACTAAAGTCACTTAAGCCCTTTGCGCCAGTCACCGGAGCAAGACTTTCCTTGGAAAGCTGACCCTGCCATAGGGGCACATGGGTTACGCTGCAGACAGGCTGGGACCATCACCTCTGCCAGGCATCAGTGATCGCGAGCTCTCCATAGAGGCATCCCACATCTTCCCCGGCACAGGGGAACCAGCACCACACAGCCCCTTCTCCAACTGAGGGACAGGAGCATGGTAATCCAGCTCACCAGCTTCGTTAGCAGTCAGCACTTCGACAGTAGGGAGCAGTTCCCGTGCCTTACTTGGCACTATGGTTTTCAGAGAGAGCAGACACAGGCAGCGAGATACCGAAGCAAGGGGCTTGCTTACCCACGACACCACCCGGCCGTTGAAGCAGGGAAGCTTGGCATTGTCATCCGAGATTTCTTCTTTCACCACCCTGCAAAGGGGAGAGAATGCAGTCAGAGCTGGGTCCAGGACTTCAGAGAAAAAGGAAACTTTCCCAGGCTGGTGTTTGCACCCAACAACAGGCATTCCCAGCCTCGGGGATGGGGCAGGGAGAGGACTGGCAGCTCCCTCCTGCTGCCAGGCTACAGCTTCCTACATCCACAGCCATGACTGGCAGGCTGGAGAGGAGAAGACAAGGGCAGAACAGGCTCTCCTGTGTGCATCCAGCTGTTTTATCCCTCAATTCACATTTTAATCAGTCAAAAAAAAAATTCAAATGCATATTTCCACCAGTTCACTTATTTCCTAAAGAAATACATAATTTAAACCTCTTTATAATGATCTGAAAGAATCACAACCTATGCCAGAGATTTCTAATAGATGAAAGTGAAATACATTAAACACTGCCTCCCAAATGTTACTGTTGCTTTTTAATTACATACATAATATTTCAACATCACTTCAAGCTTTATAGTTGTGCCACAATGTCATGTTCCCACATTACACAAACAGCTACATTATTATCAGTCTTCACAGCGGAGGGAGCACTGATAAATTTTTTTCCCCAAAAGTAAAAACATCATTTTTCTTTGGAGAGAAGATGTCTTCTTTCTGTTTTAAATATCACCAGGCACCCAAATACTTCTTCCACAGTGAGTCTGCAATCAAAACAACTTGTCAATTCATGAGGTTCAATTAATACCATCTTTGATAAATCAAATTTAATGGCAAAACAGGCTTTAAGAAGCTCATTTTCTTTTTCTACTCAATGACAACATTTTAAGCACTCTTATTTAACACGAAGACATCTTACAAGTAGTTCGTGATATTAATTTCCCCTTCCTAACTATATCTAAGGTAGCTTGACCCATATGTGCTTAAAAAAATAATGTAGTAACTAAACAGTGAATCAATTATGTTTGGGGAAAAAAAGAACCCAACAGAAAAAAACCTAAAGCACGAATATGAAACCAAGGGAAATTACGCATTAAAAAGTAGTAGTTTATAAGTAACTAAAACAGAGTACACAGAGGTGGGATCCCATCAACAGCTCTGAGGGGTCCCCAAGCCAGTTCCCAACTCACACAGAATCGAAGAGGATGCAAGCGTGGGATGTGGAGCTGGGACCCATTGCCCTGGACTGTCACCAGCCCAGGCACTGCCACCAAGAGGCAGCACGCCAGGGCCCGGAGAAACAGGTACTCCCTGGTGCGCCAACAGCTGCCCAAGCCGTCACTGAAAATAGGAGGGCAAGGCTTGCCAACACTCACAAGGAATCAGCAAGAGGCAAATGAAGCGCGCTGGAAGACCAAAACTTGGGGAGCAGGCTCGCTCCACCCTGCCAGTCGCGCTGGTTGCTCCGGTGTCACGCGCGCTCAAAGGGCTGTCTCATGGACGTTGCCATGTCTTGGCTGGTAGCTGGCACTCGTGATCCCTACCCAAACTGGAGGGCCAGCAAAGGGACTGGACAAATGATACCCACCCGTCCCCAGAAGGCACAGATGCGGAGGTCACGGTTTGAGCAGTCTAATCCACTCCCAGGATGCGCGTTAATTCCTCTTGCACAGATGGAGGAGGAGGAAAAAGCAGGAAAGGAGCAGTGAGGATGGATTAAAACCCTGCTGGCTTAATGCTTCTTCGACATGCCCTGTGCCAGCCTCTGCCCAAAGCCCCTGCAGCCCAGGACGAGTACCAAACGCAGGCAGTCTTCCCCAGGACCGATCCTCTTCGGCGTCCACGCCAACCCTTTCTAATGCAGGCAAGTTGTTGTCTCCTCACTTCAAAGTGTACACACACACACACACACACACACACGCACCCTGGCCTGGCTGCACTAGCATCCATTCATACTGTCGCCAGCAGCCTGGCCTTCATCCAATTCCTAGAGAGAACTTCAGGCAGAGCCAATTTTCAGTGCTGTGTGCTGCCTGCTCAGGGACACAGAGCCCTGCCTGTGGGTGAACGGACAGGGTGATATATTTGCAGGGTCAAGGTGACCAACCGCTAAGCACAAATGAACTATTCCACTTTCAGCGGGGACAGAGGAAACCAACCCCCAAGACCTCCCCGCCCACCCTCAACTGCAATGCCGGATGGAGAACAAGCTCCCTCTGTCCTGAGAGCTGGTCCCTCGTCGCTCCTATTACCCCGCTGCTGCCCCAGACATCCCAGGGGTCAGCTCCACCCCGGAGCAGTTTTCTCCCTCCTTCCCCAGCCACTACGTTATTTATCACTATTTATCACCCAGATGCCAGAGCACAATAGATTACATATTTAGACTCTACAGAGCAAAAAACTGATAGTGCTGGAATTGGGCACGTGCTGAGGAATATCTCTGCAGTCTTGCTCACGTCTGTCACCCCTCACACCGTCCCAGCTATTCATGCCCTGCATTCCTCCCCAGCCTCAGCCCTGAGCTGTAGCCTTTCTCCCCCACACCTCTCACCACTCTCTTCAAGCCACACTTCTCGCACGAACAAGACCGCAGGTTCACGTCAGAAGCCACCAACTGAGCAGCCTCTGGGGGAGCTGTGCGCGGTGCCACGTTTCTCCTCTGTGGTTGCATGGGGAGGCGGCCATGAGATGAAACTGTCCTGCGGATGTGCTGGGAGTAAAAACCATCTCATGGATGTGCTAAGAAGAGCCCCCAGCTGACGGGGTCTGAGCCTGGGAATCCTGAAAGAGCAGACCCAGAAGGAGCTCAGGCTCTCTTGGTTCTCTAAAAGCCTTTCCTTTTGGCAGGAGCCACCACAGCCCAGGGAAAACATCTGCCCAAGGCTGATTTCAAAGGGACTGCTTTTAGTTTACCATCCATCAGGGCAGCCCGGTCTCAGATTTTCCTGTGTTTATAGTCCTGTTGGGGGCTGGGCACTACATGGCTGAGAACAGTGGCCAGGGAAACCCCTCTGCTACCGGGAGGCAGCCCGAGCCTTGCCCAGGCAAGCACGGGTCCAGCCCCCTCAGCGCTGCTGCTCTGCATGGAGAATCGCCCAGCGGAACGGGCGCTCGCCAGCCCCCGTCCTGTCCCCTGGGCCAGCCGACGTGCTGCGGCCAAGCTGCGTGCTCATTGCCTGGCCCGCAGGCCCAGCGCTCCCCGGCACTCATCTGCCTTGAATTTTCCAACAAAGAGACCTGCGGGAGGGAGTAAGGAGGGAGGAAGGAGAGAGGGAGGCTTACAGGGGAGGCAGGCCGAGTGGGCGGATGATTCAACCGCCATCCCCAGCGACACACGGGGCCAAGCCAGGGAGGGGGAGGAGAAAGGAGGGGACGAGGCTTTGGCTGGCGGCGGGGCTGGGGGGGGACGGGTGTGCAGAGGGGCCTGCCAGGGCTGACACAAGCAGCACATCTGCTCCCATGCAGCTGGGGGAGGGGAAGGGGCAGCCCCGGCAGCAGGGGGGGAAAGCGGAGGAAATCCAGCTCCATCCCTTGCTCCATCCTGATCCTCCCACCGGCTTCTCCAGAAGAGCCAGCAGACCCTCTCCCCATGGCCTGGGAAGATGCCACGCTCCCAGCTTCCCTCCCGCTCCCTGCTGGCAGGAGCGGCCGGCAGCCTGGAACAAGGATGCAGAGGGGGTGTTGAGGGACAGGCAGGCAGACACTGCCTTCTTCAGGGAGCCCCAGTCCAGCTCAGGAAATTAGAGGGTATTTTATATCACAGAGTCATGTCCTAGGAATGAAGGGAAAGCGGGGAACAAGAGATCGTGCACAGGAGAGAAAGGAGGCCATAAAACCCAAGCCTCGGAGACGGCTGTGCCGTGTCAGAGACCCCGGGCTGCGCAGACATTACCAGCGCAGCTGCTGCGCTCCCAGCCTCCCCGTTTCCCCTTGGTGGCCTCCAGCCCGGGCAAGGCTGCAGATACAAGGGAGTTCCAGCTCCAGCCAGCTCTGGTCTCTCCTGAGTGGGACCCGCTAACCACAGTGGGGTCCCACCGAAGAACTCGGATGGAGTAATGCGAGCCCAGGGAAAGAAGAAATCCAAGAGGCATTGACAAAGGCTCCGGCAGGAGGGTTTGAACCTCAGACATGGATGCAGGCTGGAGCTCGGCAGCAATCGCTGCTCGTCTCTGGCGGTCCCGTCCCCCAACTCGTCTATCTAAGGGCTCGCAATGGGGAGGATACTCAGGGAGAAGCAGTCACGGAACGCAGTGGTCATCAGAAAAGCTGAATCAGGAGTTCAGGGGGGGTCAGTACCCAGAAGGGAGGTGAGGGAAGGGGACCCCCTCAAGCATGTTAGCTTGATGGCCAGGATGAAAAGAAGTCTTATTAGGGGAGGTGTAAAGATTGAGAAGACAATTTAGCAGTGACAATATTTCACACTAAAAAGATGAAAAGCTAGTAGAGCAGATTAAAAAAAGACCTTTTCCTTAATTTAGTTCAATTATTGAGAGGAAAGACTTCCACAGAACAGCAACATTTTTTCCAACATTGCAATGTTAAACTTAATTGTCTATTACAACCTCCCAGAAGTGCACAGATTAGGTAGGTCACTCCTCTGACCTTAACAGTCCCCATCTCTGACAACCCACAGAATCACGAAAGAGGGGGTGGGGGTGGGGGAAGAAACAAAAAAACATCAGGAGATGTTTCTACCCAAGAGCACAAGCTTCAGGGATTTACACACCAGAAATGTGATCTCATTTTCAAGATCTTTAGTGCGCACCCCTGGGGGCAGGGATGTCTTGTCTCTAAATGACTGTATAGATTAATAATGCTGCATAGCAAAAGGAAACACCTTCATGTGCTACTATCCAAATGCGAGCATCTCCTAGCTCTAGAGCAAAATCCTCCTCCCTTCTGCAAGATCAAATGCTGGGGGCAAAGGGACAAGCTCTGCAGCCATTTCACCAGAAAATTGGACAGGGCAATTCTCTGACACAGTTGGGATTTTGGATGGGAAATATTTGTCTGTTAGACTAAGCCCAGACATGACACATGTGCTTCCCATGGGGATACAATCCCCCCCGAAGGGCTACAGGCCCAACCCAA